TATAATAGTTCAAAAAAAATATTAAATCATTAAATAACAATCATTAAGAAATGAAGGAAAGAGATCCAACAAATGTCAAAAGTGAGATACCGAGACGTCATTTTCATCTTCCATTCGAAATCAATGAGACAAACAGTCTTGGAACGTGGGAAATTCTACTAAGCGAAAACACCATCAAAGACATACGGGAAATGCTGTATAATGAAAACTTCAATGATATGCAAATAGAGTTGCCTCTTACTATCGAAACAGTCATGAAAAAACTTAGGCAGATATCATCCGGGGCGTGGAAAAAGTATGGCCTTCAACGCAGGGCGTCAACTCACGCTATTCCTGTATACGAAGTGGAACTCCCTGGAAACAACCTGAAAATTCTTTGGCAAGTTGACTATGGATACTCTATCCATAAATATTCGTTCGCGCAACATGTAAAGGTTTGGGCTGTTACTGAAAACCAAGAAAAGATTGACAAAACATTACAAGCCCTTAAAAGAGTCCATAAGGTCTACACTTCCGAACATATTCGTCGGTGCGCAATCCGAAAGATCAGCAAAAACAATGTAGTTATACCGGAATGTTTTGAAGATGAGGGAACGAGGTTCACCAACAAAGAGTTGGACAATGAGAGATTATTAGAAGTGCATCAAATGTTTGTTACAAATAAATTTATTCCTATATCAAAGGTAAAATACAGTACGCACAAAATTGCTGTTATACATGTTAACTATTCGACGAACTAATTAATATCTTTTTTCGCAGGATTTGTTCAAGTCGCTCATCCTGAGTGGTTCTGACTTCACATTTCTAGTTTCCAAGACCGAGTACGAGATAATTAATCATCCTTCGTCGGCGGTCGTTTTTGGTCGATCGGGTTAGTACTAGTTTCAGTCATATTTACATGAGTAAAATGCTGAATTTGTTGCAGTTGTTTGATTCTATTCTAAATGTCCAATATTCAGGAACTGGCAAGACTACTTGTATCGTATTTAGACAGCTCGTTTCATATCTGAAAAGCCAAATTTACAAGACACCATCCTCGCATGACTATGACGATTATTTTTACAAAAGACAGATGTTTATTACGTTGAACCCCATTCTATGCTTACGAGTAATGAAATACTTTAATCAGTTGCAAAAATCGGCGAAGCTTGCTGGTGAAAAGGTTTCGAAGGCTCAGTTTATTGCTTGGAAGAAAGAATACGATAGGAGTAAGACATTCGATGACAATAACATGCATGAGGAAGACGATGTGAAAAAAATTCTTAGTGAAATTCCGAACTCGTTCCGTCTGCTAACGGAACAGCATTTCCCATTATTTATTACTTATGAAAAGTTTTCAGAAATGCTTCTAGGAACATACGGTATTGACGTTCGAATGTTGACCACAAAACAAATACCAAAGCCCAATGTTAATAATGACGACGAGGAGGAATTGCGTTTTACGTCTCCTTTTGCAAATATGTCAGACGCTTCGTGGGCTTCCGTTGTAGACTACGATCTGTTCGTAAATAAGTATTGGCGTCATTTCGGTGATTATTATCGTAATAAGCTGGATTGCGAGTTGGTATACTCTGAGTTCTCTATTATAAAGGTATGCAAATATAAATAATACCCTACTCCTATAGAATTTTTGATTTTAAAATAAGTTTTTGTTCAAAAAATAATATGTAGGGCACGAATACTAAGGTAGACTACCTATCAAGGGAAGAATATCGTGACATTAGTACCAGGAAATACCCAACATTTTGTCACTGTCGTGATGACGTTTATGATATATTTGAGCGATATGAAAAGATGAAGGCGCGGAATTATGATTTTGATTCGGTGGATCGGTAATGACGGTAGTTTTTTTATTTTTGGGTAGGACGATTGATTTCAATCTCTTTATTGTAGAACTCTGGCTATATTACGTGCAACCAAAACGAAAACGTTCGGTGGCCCAGACATTCATGAAGTGTACATTGATGAATGTCAGGATAACCAGATAATAGATTATAAGCTCATATTGAAGCTCTTCGGCCGCGCTGAAAGCATTTTTATGGCAGGAGATGTAGCACAATGCATTGCCCGGGGGTCTACTTTTCGATTTAAAGGTTTGAGGTTTTTATTGTATTGTTCAATAATAAATAATTACGATTTCTTTCTCTAATCTTTAAATTTTTTTTATTAAATAGACCTATCCGCATTGATTTACCGATGGAACCTCAAGCATGGCAATTATTTAAAACCAAAAGAGTTCGAATTAAACATTAACTATCGCTCTCACAAAGGGATTCTTAAACTAGCTTCGTCAGTAATTTACCTCCTCCAAGTATTCTTTCCTGATTCTATCGACCATCTATCTCCTGAAATCAGTGAAGTTGGTGGTCCGCAGCCTCTCATCATCGAGGGTTGTGAAGCCAAAGACCTGTTTGTCCATAGAAATGATAACATAAAATCAGATGAATTTATTGAATTTGGAGCTGGTCAGGTCATTATTGTACGTGATGAAAAGGCTAGAAAGCGTGTGGAGACTATAAACAATAGAATTGGATTGATTTTGACTGTTTTTGAGGCCAAAGGCATGGAGTTTAATGACGTCCTATTATTTAATTTCTTTACCGATTCACCCGCACTTTTAAAAGTAAGATGATATGAAATTTGTTTCAAAGCATAATAAAGTCATTTATTAAAGCTGTTCTATTATATACTTCATATTTAGTGGCGAGTAATTCTCTCAGATTTGGATGAATATTCTAAAGGAATTCGTAAATTCTTTCCTGAAAAGCATTATATTCTTTCCTCAGAATTCAAACATCTCTATGTTGCCATAACCAGAGCCAGAGAGCATCTCTGGATTTTTGAAGAGGATGTGAATTTGAGTGAGTCAATCCGTACATACTGGGTTCGCAAAAATCTAGTGGAAGTAACGAATGAAATCGACATTTCTACCTTAACTAAGACGAGTAATCCGTCTGAATGGAATTATGAGGGAAAGAAGTTTTTTGAGCAACGGAAGTATGTACAGGTAAGCTCAAAATATTCAGTGCTATGCAAAATGAGCTGAGTTACTAAATGAAAAAGGATCACCTTTAGGCTATTTTCTGCTTCAAAAAGAGTGGAAATGAGGAAAGTTTAAAGCTAGCTCGTGCGTACCATCTTCAACAAGTTGCTAGAACTTCCTTCTTAACCGGTTCTAATGAAATAACAGTGAAATCCAATTTCGTAACTGCCGCTCAAGCCTTTGAAGAATGTTCCCGGTTGCCACAGGCGGCTTCATGTTATGAGGTATAACTTCGAAACTTTGATGTATTATCATGAATACGTAGTTTCAATTGCACTTGAAAGCTTTCACGATTATATTTACAATTTATAATACTTTCAGAGCATATGCATGTATAAAATAGCTGGTGATATCTATTCTGTATCAAAAATGTTTGAGCCTGCCGCACGTTGTTATCTTGAAGTCAAGATGTGGAACGTAGCAGGAGAGTATTTTGAAAAGGCGAAATTGTACAATCATGCAGCCCTTGCCTATAAAGATGGCAACCTTAATGATATGATAACTGATTTGATTCAGAGGTAAGCTTGCTTGATAATTTTACAACTTCCTCATAAAAATCTTCAATTTGTTGTCAATTCACTAAAAAAATTAGTGCAACGCTTGTCTAACTATTTAAACAGACAAGACATCAACGATGAAACGATCCGACAAATCAATAACCACTTTCGTAATGAAGCAGAAAAACTTATTTTACATAATAAGTTTGAAGAGGCTGCCGATATGCTAAACCGTTCGGTTGCTGATGACGAAAATACAATCGAAGCGTCTAAGTACCTATTTCGCCTTTGTAGAGATAATGTACTTGAAGAGTTATTTACAGGCTCAATTACCCGGAAAGAATTATGTAGGCTCCAGTCCAAAGCGGCCAAGATTATCTCAAAAGTTGCAAATCTTTCTATACAGAATAGACTGACGGAGCAGTCTCAGCTATATATTTCCTTTTTAAATGAAAAACTCAATATTTATGATATGGTAACTGAATTGACTCAAAGGTAAACTTAAAGCTACCTGTATGATTCTGTAAATTTCTCGTAAGAACATTTATTTTCGACTGTAACGCTTGTCTAAACTATTAAATAATAGATATAGACGAGACTTCAACGACAAAACGATCCGTCAACTCAATTTCCACTTTCGCAAAGAAGCAGATAAGCTTCTATCGAGTAATAAGTTCGAAGAGGCTGCCGATATGCTTAACCATTCGGTTGATAATGACGAAAATTTAATTAATGCGTCTCGGCATCTATTTCGTCTATGCAGAGTTATAGTACTGAATGAGATATTTACAGGTTATATAAGCTCAATTTCCCTACAGGATTTATGTAGACTCCAATCTAAAGCGGATTATGCTATCTCAAAGTTTATAAATAAATCTAAACAATGGATGAGCTTCATGCATGAGTCTCGGTTATATTCTTCTTATTTCAATAATAGTCTCGATATTTATGGTTTGGTAGGCGATTTGATTCAGAGGTAAACACGTAACCTGATAGATTTTGTAAATTCTCTATACAAATTTTCCATTCATTGTCAATTCATAAAAATAATAGTAATTTTACTTAAAATAATTAGGCATAGGCAAGACATCGACGATAAAACGATTCGTTTACTCGATGTCCTCTTTCGAAAAGAAGCAGAGAAACTTCTTTCACATAATAAATTCGAAGAGGCTGCCGACATGCTTAACCATTCGGTTGATAATGATGAGAATGCAATAGATGCGTCGCAATACCTAGTACGCCTTTGCAGAGTTAACGTACTGAAAGCGTTAGTTATAGGCTACACAAGCTCAAGTTCCCTGCGTGACTTATGTAGACTCCAAACCAAAGCGGCCAAGGCTATCTCAAAAGTTATAATTCAATCTAAGCTATCGAAATGTCTTATGGAAGAGACTCATTTATATGATTCTTATTTAAATGAGGATCTCGATCAAGTACACGAGTGCAGACAGTATTTCATGAATCACGAAGAGTTTTTCAGCGAGTTTTTTGCATTATTCATGTGGCTTCAAATTCCCTCACCACTTGATATGAATATCAAGTATTGGAATGAACGGTTACATTGCTTGCTGAGACTCTGTAAATTAGTCTTTCCTTATATAACCCCACAAAAAAATGACGATATTTCAAAAATCTCGAAAGAATTCGAGGATATTTTTTTATGTTTTGAAAACAAAATAAAAAACCCTCGGGGACTGAAACTTTTTACTTACAACCCTCTTTATTTTCTTATTGATATCAAGCATAAAAATAAAGAAAATGAAGTATCAATTACGGATTGTGGGAAGTTTTATGACTTGGATGTTGTGCATCAGAAAATTTCACAATTCCTTATTACATATATCTGCGAGCTTATTTCGAAAGTCGATCAGGTTGGGAGAGATAATCCGGATGTAGTTTACAGTCAGGATTCAACATCACCACCACTTCTGTTCCAACGCCTGAAACTGGCAAGACTCCAATATACTGTGGTGCGACAGTTGGATGTGTTGTGCCGTTATGGGCTTCTTAGTGAAGAAAGTAAAGAATTCCTTGCTTCACAAAAATGGTGGGCTGAGAATCTGGTTAAATGTCATATGTGCTATCAATCACCACACATAAGCTGCCCAGAAGTTACTTACATCGCTCTTACCAAACCTTCCATTCACTTTCGTGATGGTCATATTAATGCAGCTTACAAGACATGGTTATTTAATGAGTCAAAGAATGCTAGCGACTTTGAAATTATATTAAAATGTATGTACGTTATACAGCAACTTAAAGACAAAACGGTTATTGATGAGTTTAATCGTGAGATGTCGAAAACAAAATTACTTTCACACCCTAATGACTTAGCCGTGGGTTTTGAATATTACTGTGGAAATTATCAAGCAATTCCAGTTGGAAGAAGTCTTTCGCAATTTTTCTTATTTCTTTATACTAATAAAGTGATACCCGCGATCATAAGCTCAAGGACGTTTATTAATTATGCCATAAAAAATATTGAACAAATCAATCTGACTTCATCCGATGCTCTTGGAGATCTCATATCTCTCATGGAATTTACAACGTCTTTAATTTTCGCAGTTGGACAAGTGCATTGCGATATTTGTCTTCCTCGAAGTTTTTTGACTGATTACTTTGACGCATTTACCGCGAAACCGCTCATTCCTGATCGATATACTTACAGCAGAAAGAACTATCTGTTTGCTATCAATAATTCCATCGATCAAGTTCGAAATCTTCTTGATCTGTTGTTTTCTAAGCAGAAGATTTACTTAACAATTATCCTCCGACTGATACGGCTTTTGGTTCTTATCGGTCTAAATGAATCCAATTTTGTGCAGGAGATCCTTTATCTTTTTAAGCAAACTTTTAGCAAAAACAAAATCTATTCTACAAAAATCCAGAAATACCTAGAAGAAACCAATTTTGTAAGACTTGTGGAAATACTTTATAGAGATCTCAGGGAGGAACGTTATGATTCCTTAGTTATCGTTCACCACAAAAATATAAGCATATCGAAATTTGCTTGCTTCGAAAATTTTGGTGTCAAAAGCTTTACTTACAATTCTATTGAGGATTTCCGTTCGTCCCTTCGAAATATATCTTCCTCTACCAGAATTCCGGGCCAATTTGAAAGTTAATTTTATTATAGCTAGAATTTGGGTCCCCCATGATTATTATAATAGATGAAAAGCGCAGCAACATTTTTTTTTATATTCTAAAGCAATGTGTATTTTGATGAAGAATGATAAAAATCGTTCTAGTAAAACAATATGATTTAATGAATTAGGAATAATGAAATTTTAGAAAATTTTCTGTATCAGATGTCATTTACAGACCCCCGCCAAAAGTCTCCGAACGCTTTTTGGCTCAATATAAAACTTAAATTTTTTAAGTTTAATTAAAAA